GCTACGCCTTTGACAAGTCAGCGCACCGTTTTCCCCCCAACTTTTTCATCTGAGACAAAATGCCCCTAAAAGCAGAAAATAAGTGATAAACATTTGAAAACACAGATGTTCGCGAAATGCAAACTAGTTTGGTTTCAACGAGAGATTCGACAGAAGCCCGAATGAAACTCTCGTTCATGCTGGTACGATATTTTCCTGATGTTGAGAATCATTTTGGCAACTCACGACGAGTTTCCCCCATCTTGAGGTTCGTCAGGTAGGCTCGCTCCCCGAGTTTTCAGTAAGCCTATGTTCCACTTGAACCTAGAATGTACGCAAACTGATAGGTAGAACATGAGGCTGGCGGAAACACGGGGACTGCTCCCCCACCTGACGACGAAGACGAACGAACCTACCAGCCGAAAAGCTATCGGTCGAAGGGCCAGTCAACACCTGATCACATGACGCCGATTCCTTGATTGGGGGATAAGCGAAGCTATTTCTTGTCTAAGTGCGAGTTCATCATACTGTTGGCCAGCCGCTCGTAGCCATGCAGTTGAGTTCAAAAACTACAAACACAGAGTTGATGCGTTCGAATCACCCTGGCTACTCGTGAGGTGCGCAGTGCTGTTGATTCCCAATAAGAGTTTTTCAGCACGGGCTGGTTTCACTTACAGGACGAAACTTCCACTGAGATTTGGTAATTCTCAGTAATTCTCAAAAATGATTAATGACGAGAATTCCAGACTACTCGTTAGTAATCAGTTGACTGCCTGAGTTGGTCATTGGCTGTTTAGACCACGTGGGGCATCTGTGAGTTTCGACGTTTGTAGACAGACTTCTAGACGGAATGAGATGTCCTTCAATAATGTTGTGCAGCCGAAAACGTGAGAAGAGCACACAAAAGTCCACCATCTTATCCATGCCGAGTGAAGACGAAAGGGCCATCCTGTCTGCACTCTGTAGATGCGGCCCCATACAAAATCTGTTCTGGATTAATGGAAACACGATAGACTGTTCACGTGCACAGGACAGCAACCAGTAGAATTAAACTAGTTCGATAAAACAGGTTGGTGGCAACTGACATCCCTTGAGTTTCTGGAGGGATGCTGTCTGTCTTGGCGGTCTTCAAGTGAGAATGTTCTTCACTTTGGTCAGTGAAAGGGTTAAGCGTTTGAAAACTAGTTCCATTAAGTTTACGAGGGGAGTGAAAAAACTGCGCATGCTTACTTCGGTTGTCGGTCTATGCACCGACCGTGGCAGTTAGATTGCAAACGTTTCATCACCGATCGAGGTGACATAGTCAATAATTCGCAGTAATTCTAAATGCGAACAAGAGGACTGTTCGAAACAGACCCTTGGAGGGTTGATGGATTGTTCGAGTTGACGGAGAGTTCCCGGTCCTCGGACACGAATCGGTAATTTCACTAAAACTCATGAAAAAAGCCCGTTTTAGACGATGGTGTGTGCGGGATTTTTAGACTGTGCTTTCACGTGGCTCTCGTTTGAACCGCCCTTTTCCTGTTATGGCACAATCATTATGGCGAGTCTATAGCAAAGAGAGGAAGCACCGCATCTCTGGTGTTGAGAGGACCAAACACATCGTTCAACCGAGAACATGTTCCTCTGTTCGGAAATGGAAGGTATGGCGCTGATGAAGTGGTGTTAACATGATTGCCTCGCATATCAGTTGTTCAGGGCTCGAATCCAGGCACAACAAAGTCGTTGAACCCCACTAAGATCGAAACTCACCAGACCCTCCGGAAAAATTGGGATGCTCAAACGAAAATGATGTGAATACGAACCCAGTTTTGTAATATCTGGGAACTATGGAAACAAAGAACTATAGTCCTCGACAGGTGGGCCAGTCGATCGATGAAACCAAGGTGTGTTACTGGGTAGTCGTTCAAGCCATCGGACTTTCGGCTTATATCACTCAAGCGCGAACATGCTCAGCTGTTCAGACATGCTTCCAGTGGGCGCTGAAAGCTCGCCTCGCATGTCAGATGTGCGGGGTTCAAGCCCCGGCACTGCTGGTGAGCTCCATTAAAAGCGAAACTCGAGTTCAGTGCTTACCCCCCCCCCCCTTTTGGTGTGGACTCAACAGGACAAGCGAACAATGTTTCAAACGAGAGTCATGTATGCGCATTCTATTAATCCCGTAACCAACTGAAGAACTATACTGCTCGACCAATGCATCTTTTTCCCGGGATAGCGAATCTTCGACAAATTCCGCGAGAAACTGAGACCTCCTGTTCGAAACAGCAATATTGGACTATCCTGGGACCAGCATGTGCGCACGAAGCAAACCACAGAGAGAAATCCCTGAGGGCAGAGAAGGAATCAGTCGTCATCCTTCGAGCACAAATGCCTTGGTAACAAAAAAAACACCTTCGGTGGAGCATGGAGGAATGCGACATCTTGCGTGCTGGGGGTTTGGCGAGTGCTATGTGTGAACACGGACTATCGGAAAAGGACAAAGGACACTAGTGTCTTGGTCCACACACACACACACACACACACTGAGAACATGTTGTCACGGGGCCGGTGAGGATGGAACTGTCAAAGGAACTCGCTCGACAATAGGATAGCACTACCAAACTAAGTTGAACCAAACAGCACCTACTGGTTAGAGTAACGTTTGAGAACTAGGCGGATCAGCTAATACTCCTGCCTAAAGCTCAATCGATACGCCAAAGTGGGATCGGTATTTTGGAAGTGCATCTGGCCATGGGAACCAGATGTGGTTAAGGCCTGAACTCATTAATTGTTCCCGTCTAGGCTTGGGCAATCTGGCAGTTTCTCAGCCCTTTCGGTCCATAGCTGCCATGCTACCATTCGGAGGAAGTGCGAGGTTTAAGCTTGTCTCAGTTTGCCCAAGACTACGCAGGAGCAGTCGAGCTGCAGAGGCTGGGTTCGAACCACAGTCCTTCCGGTCAGTAAGTTCGTGCCTTGACCACTGAGCCATCTCTCGCTCACAACTCTAAATAGGGACAAAATGCGAAGTCGCAGAACCGGCCTCATGACGGTCAATGATTCTTATTAGAGAAATTTCCAGAGTACATGAAAATTAGAGGTTTTAGTGACAAAGGAACAAATTGCTTTGGTGCGGACTGGGAAACGCTCTTTTCTGAAATTCTTGGAGAACCACATGCTGAAGTACGCGACTTTCTAGTGCCAGGCCTCTGAAGTCCTGTCACAATGTACGATGGCACATAACGAGATGGCCTTCGAACAGATATATCCCTACGATAGACCAGGAAATACGCTTCCTCTATCATCTGAAAAGGGGTTTGAAGAGTCACAAAGTGCGTGTAGCCTGGTTGTTTGACCCACTCCATTGGGAGTGGCGGTGACCTGGAATAGAACAACACGACAGAATGGGATGACGGATGTTGCAAAAGGTCTGCGTGCTGCTGATATTGTTTGTGGACCCACGTGACCCTCCCCTCTCTATTTGAAATACATGAGAGCTAACCGATGTCACGCTGTTGCTTTCTATCCAAATTATCTAATTAAGTGTTGAAGATGTGAGCACCTTGGGTGTTTTTTGTCCAACTAGCTGTTCCTTTCCTTATTGTGAAGATTTATTCAGATAAACTGACATGGCCGTACGGTGAAGGACCTGTTTGGGCGAACAGATCAACAGCCACCTGATCAACAACCAATAAACTCACCCGAGCTACCAATATTTCAACAAAGGACCTATTTGGTGTTTCTGTCAATGATGATGACGAGTCCTGCGAGGACGATGATGATTCGGAGGATGACGACGATGATGGTGATGATGATGATGATGACGATGATGATGATGATGATGATGATGATGATGATGATGATGATGATGATGATGATGATAACTACGCAGCCACGCACAATGGATAATGCCAAATATGATTGGCTCTGAGCCGTACGTGCATCCGCTCTAAAGTCTTGAACCGGATATAAACTCGAAAGGGGAAGAACTGAAGGTGAACAGGACAGGAAAGACCTAAAGCTATCAGCATATTGCAAATGGGGGCCCACAGGAATCAGTTCAACTCAGTACCCGATGTCGCTGGGCATTTTGACCCCAGATGCATGCAAAAGGGCAAGTGCTTGTCCTAATCACCCTTAGAAATTTATCCTAGGCCCACACATGGCCCTCATTCAGCTGCATGCGTACAACGATGGTCAAGGTGAATCCCTTCTAGGACCGTTGTAGGCTCCGGAATTCTCGCATTACCAATGCGGATCTCTTGAAGATGCACTAACGAAATAAAGTAGACAAAATACAACAGTATGCATTAAATTACAACTTAACACGTATAAAAGTCCATACGAGGTATGTGAATTCGATGCGATAAGGCAATGGAAAACAGCCCAGTAGCCACTTTAAAACATTTCCGTGAAGCACCGCTTATGGCCGCCTTGGATTGAGGCACCGCAAAAACATCTTCAGTTGGAGGGGCTGCACAAAGGCCATCTTATGGGCAAGACATTCGAAATATTGAAACAGATTTTCTTGGAGTCAACTACTACTCGAAAAGACTTCAGCAACTTAATGAGTAATTTCCTTCAGGAACAAGTAGACCCCAGTGATGTTGGGCTGCGTGCACTTCAGAAAGACACTATGCACAGTGATTTCGTCTTCAAATTTCATAAAATCAAACCTGGATCTACTTAGACATTGAGAAAGGTATTTATTTTTTAAGGTGTCTTTTCATTATTCAGCATTACGGATACATCAAGTTTTATGCGGATCTGTAAGTGTCGTAGCCAAACACCGGATTCGCGGGGAACAATGTCGACTGTTATCGTGCTCCTTCCGTCCACCGTGTCTGAAAGGAGAGTAATGTGGGATTCTACACTCTATTCTAAACACTAAGGAATCCTGACGAACGGGTATGCGAAAGGGCGTCTCATAAGGCGCAAACTTAAGCGACGACCATCGTGGAAGTAATGATAGATGAACTGGAAAAATTAAATGACTTTTCGACCACGAGCGTGTTCCTTGATAAAGGTCACTGTCGGTCGTCGAAATGTCGGATTGGTGCAAAGTGCAGACCAAAGGACAGGATGACTTTTGTCAGTTCATCCAGAAGCAACTGCGCCTTCTCCTCCTCTTCGAACATGAGAACGATGTCGTCTGCATATTCCAGATCGACAAGGCCTTCTTCACAGGCTATTTGAACACCATGGTTTCCGAGACTTTCCAGCGTTCGTCTCATTATTTCATTGATCCCGAAGTTAAAAAGGAACGGAGAGAGTGGGCATCCCTGACGGACACCGCTTTGTGTACGGAAGCTTTCGGAGAGCTCTTCGTACACTCTCAAACGTCCGGAAGTCTGAGAATACAAAGAACGTAGTATGTTTACAAACTTCCGGGGCATTCCTTGGTGGGCAAGCCTTTCAAGAAGAACAGTTCAGAACTGTTGACGAAATACATCCATTTGGTGCTCAAATGGGACATATGGTTGATGAAATCTCAGGGACCTGGACTAACTTAGGAATCTCGGGAACCCTGAAGCTGGTAGTGATAGGTCTACGAGTTCTAGGCAACCTTTTATGTTGTGTCAGAACTCCATTTAATGCTCTGAAATCATTATCACCTAACGGGTAAACAGATACTCAACTAGAGCATGCTTTTAACCGCCACCCTGATGCACGTCTGTGGTATTGCTTGCAAATGATACTGTGTTTGGAGGACTTCCGTGAATATATATCAAGTTGAATTCATAGCCGCTTTGTTAAACAGACTGCTACTTCTACGTACGGAATCAAGCAAAATCTCTCCAGTAAAGCGGACATGTCAACAGAATTCGACTCCGTTGGAAGTGCACAGGCCACCCTGTCCACATTTTATTATCGCCGGATACCCTTCTCGATACATATCAAGTCAACCCAAAAGAAGATTAGGAAGTGTGATATATGGTCGGGGATGCTACACAGATATCACAACGCGTGTGACTCACTACATAAGTCGTACGAATCAAATGTGACGTGATATTCAGTTCAGATTACGAGAGGGAGGTGTAAGAAGGATCATCAGTAAACACTAAGCAGCAGTATCTCCTCAGACACAGTTCACGTCTGCTACGCTCGGAATTGTTCATCTCCCTGAATCCCAGCTGAATTCCCTGCAACATAGATTCAGGTAGAACAAAAGGTTGACGGAAAATTTTGGTATGGGCCCCAGAAGGATGAAACTGGTTTTGGAACTTCGAACAGCTTTCAGAAACCCCATTTAGGGTGTTGCTTCCAAAAATATCTGAAAGTTGTTCCTGATTGGCTGGTCGCTACAGCAGATGATTGTGTTCCCTTCACCTAATTGGTTTGCATTCCTGTGCCCTCATTTGTTCCTCACGAGGGGTGGATGCATAAACGTAATTATTGGACAGATATCGGTGTAAATAGATCCTAGTATTGAAAGTCTAGCTTATTTTCTCGCTTTTTGCGTTTTGGAAGTCAGTAGACTCATGGTGCCGTGAACTGTTTTTAGGCTTTTCAAACAACAAAGGCCGGTGACAAACCCGCAGTAAGACTTGACATCTACGTCTCGTTTGTTTCTTCCATTTGTCGGGTCAGAGTTTTTGACATCTCAATAAACACGACGTTAGACTAAACGTCTGACCTTTTATGGTTGATCCAGTGCACGGACAGACGTAGGCGAAATCGAAGTAGACTAACTTAGTCAATACATTTAACCAGTCAGTAAACAAACAGCTTCGTTTTGGCGTGGACACTTCCACGATGGTAACTAAACAAAACGCGTGCCTCATTTAGTATGCAGGTGCAGATTCGTACATGCCTGTGTAAAGCATGGAGAATAACTTCGTTTTGGCCAAGGGTCACTAGTCTATTATCGTTGTTGTGCGATAGTGGGTTGCATACAAAATGTCACGGACAAGCTACGGACATATCATTCTTTAACACTCGAACAGTGCATGTATTGAACGAAAATATTGATACCGGCAATAAGTAGAAATCTCGGTGGTCAGGAGGTGTTTGGATGTTGCTGATTTGATCACTTAGCAAGGCATTGGCCGCCTCGGAACAGATACACTGGGATTTC